AAACAAACAAACAAACATCCACTGCTATTCATTCTAGCATATTATTACTGTTCTTCTTCTGCCCCCTTTGCAACCATAAAGTGTACATATTAATACAAATTATAATCTGCATGAAGAGTATTTTTCTACTTTTGGCCATTTCTTCCACGGTTATTTTTACTTTTTTTTTTTTTTTTTTTTTTTTTTTTTTTTTTAGACCACCTCGTCTCTGTATTACGGTAGAGACAATCCAAGGTGCGCTTTGGTGTGAGCGCGGGTTATTACGGTAATGTTCAGCCCCTTTGGATTGTTTGCTGCTCCTGGGTTCGTGAAAGCACGGAGCTCTGCGCTGCTCCTCCACACTATCCGCTCTGTTCACTCACCTAATACCGGACAACGTTAACGTTACAGTCGGAAACAAAACTCTGGAGACCTCTCCGTCTCCCGCTGTAAGTTGCACTTTTTTTTTTGTTTGTTTTTAATTTTTAATGTTTTTAAATATCTTACCCGCTTGTCTTTTCACTCGAACTATACAGTTGTACTTTAAGGTGCTTCAAGCTGCGTGTTGCTGTCTTGTTATATGTCAGTCTTGGATGGTTTAGCAGCTGAAATGTGAAGTAATTTGGTGATTGGAAGAGATTGTGGACACATTATTATAACAGCAGGGGAAGTTAAGTTGAGCGTGGTCGACAGCCATGAGAAATAAAGCCATTAACTTTACACTGTTTCCCTTCCTATCAGTGGCGTGTACGTTAAGGGAAAAAACGCTTATCTTAATCAAATCTTAGCTTATCTTAATCTCTTATTTTTTGTTGTTGTGTTGTTTGTCTTTGTAGCCGTATTAACAGCTGTACTGCTACACCCCACCCAGCCACTCAAGTTATTTAGCAGCCAAAGGTTAATAACATTTGCAAGCAACGAATTATTACCCAGTCTCGTTAAAAGCCTGAAAAATGTACTGTCACTGTTAAACATGGCAAAGGTCAACGTTTTCATAGTCTTAAATTATATTGCTGGTTTTGGACCCCCCCCCCCCAATTGTTTTTATTTATTTAAAAACAAATTGTGTTTTTTTTATGAATTAAAGTTAACACGTTGAATAAATAATATGTTTTTAAGGAGTGTGTTAGGGCAGCAAGAGCCAAAACACACCAAAATCTGGATATTTCAGTGATAGAAACTGCCCAGTATGGCCTGCACTTGAAATTATGTAATGAAAAGGAGCCAATGTACCAGCTGTGTTTTTACAAGGAAGAGGACAATCATACACAGTAATGTGCTCTTATTTTTATATAAGGGTTTTATTGGTGTGAGTGTACACAGATCACACTTAATTTCCCCCTGAAATTCAAATTAAGGTGTGTGTGTGTCTGTTGACATAGTTGCTGTCTCATTCCTGAATCATTCAACACCAGTTCCAGCAGTTCAGGTTAGTGTTTGGTTTGTCAAGACCTGTCCCAAGTGCAGTTCAGCAATGCTGCAGACTAAAGAGTCCTGTTGTCAGTGCTGTGAAATGAGCTACAGCCGACTGTTTAGCAGTCTGCAGGGAACCCCTCAGCCGTATTTCCCGTTAGTGTTGTTCGTTCGATTGGCTGAAATATAACTAATTTTCCACCTAAATTTGCTGAGTGTTTTTTAGAAGCAAGAAAAAAGACAGAATGAACAGTTGTATTTTTCCCTCAAAATGACAACCACTGCTGAATTCAGTGTGCATTGACATGCTACAAGCATTTCAACACACAACAAAACCTAACCCAAGATGCTGGCGTGGGTCAAACAGAAGCCAGTAACATGAGGGATGCGACATGGTGGCTTTTACGTTCCTTAAATCTCAAAAATTAGATGTCGAATATGGAGACAAATGAGGGATTTGTCCCCCTCAGCGTGAAGCCTTATAAATTGCTTTTTTTTTCTTTTTTCATGAATCGAGCCTTATTCCCATGGCAGCAGTCGCACTGTTTTCTAATTGCCTTGTGATCAGGAATCAACATGTCATCCAGGCTCTGTGGGCGGGCAGTGGATTCTAATTGGCCGACGAAATAGGAAAAGATGAAACGGGTCTTCCTTCTCAGTTCTTTGTGCCCATGGTGACAAAATTTTCAGCTGTGTGGAAAATGAATAAAATTGATGTGGAGTGGATGTCTGGTAGATACTGTGGCTGAGCATGGGACCACACGTTTTACACATCACGATTATCTCGGCCAAAATAACTAGGATACACAATATGATCACGATAATCAATAGTTTTAAAATGGGACTACGCTGGAGTCGCTTTACCTGACATTTTGCTCAGAAACACACATATTTATTGCATCACAGATAGACACCTTATCGCCCTGTTGTTCTTTATTTTTTAATCTCTACTATTTACAAACATCCGGTTTTAACTTTATTTAGTGAGGGATACAACAGGGAAGCCGAGCCTTCAGCCGTGGTGATTTAGGATTTTTGAGTCAAGATGTGGGCTTCCCCTTGTCCCCTTGTTCAAATTAAATCAGGAAATCAATATAGGACTGTATGCTGGCAAGCTAAACAGCTTTTTCAAGTCAAGCCATGTGAGGATTTTCACAATTATCCAGATTCCCCGATCATCACAACAAGGGAAGTTCACCACAATAAATCTTTCAAAGTGTTTTTTTAATCGCAATAATACCGTATATCATCCCATCCCTAACTGTGGCTGTGCTGATGTAGCCGTCAGCAACTTTTCTGGCTGAGGTACATTCCCAACAGGATCTCTGTTCTTTTAACCTAAGCTAGCTTGTTCAGAGCATTAGATATTTTCACTGTTAACACAGTAGCACTCTACTTTCTGAATGCAAGAGTGGCTCTGGTAAATGGGTCAGATCTGGCCTGATGTTGACCTTTTTAGACTGTTTTCTTTTTCCGTGAATGCTCGTGACTGCAGAATGTTTTCACCTCATCCAACCCTCGGAGACTATTTCAGCTTTTGTTGCAAGCTCTTCTCCCTAATGGCTCTCATGCCGAACAAAAGCACGGCTCTCTGTCACCGGACACTGGTACATATTGTCTTACAACTGTACTTAATACCTGCCTGACCCATGGAAATGCTATATTATATTATGACCTCCCTAGTCTATGGGGTACTATTGGTGGAAGTAGCACTATATTTACTACAAAACGGAGTACGAAAAAAAAAAAAAAATTCCTTTTTGCAAGTTTTGAGTGTGTCCCCATGCAATCCACCAGACTGGATTAGAGAGTACACCTGGTCTCAGTGGAGCTGGGCCGTGAGGCTGAACTGATCCTCGGAGAGTTCGGCAGTAGCATATGTAAATGGTTCTGTGTCTCTGTGTAGTTTTATGTGAAGAGGCACTAAGGAAGGCAGCAGCACTAAGGAAGGCAGCAGCACTGAGTACAGCCCTGGGAAGTCCCACAGGTCCTTCACACACTCTTGGCATGCTGCATGCTGGGTTGCCAGAGCAGATGCTGACCGCATTTCTTGTTTTAACCCCTCAGTGATTAATACTTCCAGTCACAACACAGCCCGGAAAAGTTACACAGCAAACTGTAAATAAAGTTTTAATGTTTATTGTTAGTTTAGCTGTATAAATGTACTCGTGAATATGCCGGCCATTGAAAGTGTGACCGTAGTGTTGAGGCTGCCTGGAGCACAGTCGTACGAAGAGAATCTTCTCCAAACAATGGCTCTAAAGGATCTTTGCCATGATGTTGTTTTTTATTACTATATTTTTTAACTGAAGGGGTGCATTATGCATTTTTTTTTTTACAATAATAGCTCTTAATCTGGATGTCTTCTTTGTCGTTGATTTGATAATTGTCCGTTTAGATTTATTCTTATAATAGCAACAAATATTATAAGACCTCAGCAAAATGGTCATCAGCTATATTTAGTTGCATCTTTCTGTATTGACTTCTGGTCTGTCTCCAGGGACTACCCCATACGAGCTATATTCTTCTGCTAGTGAGAATGGCTTTCTTCCCTTCGCTTTTAATTTCCTACAGTTTGGTGTGACAGTGGATTAGCCATAGGCTTTAATAATGACCCTACAGCAGATGTGCTTCTGTTAATTTCCAGTGGTCAAGATTAGAGAAGCCACCACCATATGTTGCTTTTCAGACTTTGTTGTTTTATGGCAGCGTTAGGCTGCCTAACTCATTAATTACATTCAGGGAAGACAGAAAAGCAATTCCATTGTTGAGTGGTGGCAAAACACTGTGGACAATTTCTGTGTATATTTGGCAAGTAATTTCCCTCAGGCAGTTCCAGCTGTCCTTATAAACTGAGCAAAATCTAATTTGGGATTCATTATCTTTGATAAACTCTGTACTTCATATTGTAATGTTGTGCAGCATGTGGTGCTATCTTTTGTTTGACTTGCTTGCTTCCTCTTTTGTTTGATCAAAAATATTTCTGTGGTTTTTTTATGAGACTACTCTGGTATTTTTATTTTGCTTGAGACATTTTAAGGAAAAGATTTTTCATTTTAAAACATGCACTATAATGTTCTGTTGACAGGTGAACAGGACAGCCCATCGGACATTTGGGAGAGTGGAGCAGTGGCAGCACCAGCATCATCTTCTTCAATTGGGGTTAGGAGCTAGGCGTGAACTCCACATCTAATAGAATCGTATTCAGTAAGTTAATGTTTTATTTTTGTTTCACTGCACTGATTTATGAATTATTCAGCAATTTATATGTCGTATAAGGCCTACAGTCACCTGAAATGGAAATATTGAAAAAGGAATATGCCAGGCTGTGCCGGTCAGCTGCAGAGAGCCACGCTGTTGAGGCTGTATGTATTCATGCTCACAGTGGAGTATTGTTGCTGTTTTGGCTGCTTCTGTGCACGCTGAAGAGTTTTTTTAAATATGGTTTCACATTTCCCCCTTTGCCATTTGAACAAAGTCACCTTTCACTTCTCCTTAGTAGCACTGAGCACATCACATCTAACATTCTAACGTAGTATGTCTGGTGAACTGACTTCCTGGCAGCCTTTTACTGGAAGGGAAGGACTAAACTGTTATGGTGAAAGAAATTGAAATATCTCAGCTGCTAAATGTTAAGAATTGAGGCGGCATCTTTATCTTTCCATAGGCTGACCCTGTCGCCTCAGAGCCAGCCCTGTTCAGGTGGTTTAATCCCTCTGCTACAAGCGTTGTTTTTTTTCATTTACTCACTGATTCCATTTAGACGTTGGAACTCTGCAGCAGCTCATCACTAAACATTTGGTGTTGCTAACTGTTGCATGCATAATGGATCAATCGAAGGTCCAGTGTGTAGGATTTAGGAGGCTCTATTGGCAGAAATTGAATGTAATATTTATAGGTATGTTTTCATTGGTGTATAATCAACTGAATATAGAAATTGTTATGCTTTTTTGTTACCTTTTAGAATGAGATATTTATATCTACAGAAGCTGCAGGTCAACTTCCATGGAGTGTGCCCTGTTAAACTGCCATGTCTCTAGAGTAGCCCAGAAGTGACAAACCAAACACTGGTTCTAGATAGGGGTGTTTTTTTGCACGTTTCGTGTTTTTTGTGGCCACTGTAGTTTCTCCTTCACGCTTGGAAGGGGAGGGTGAAGTGAGAGAGTTGCAAT